ATATGTGTGGGGGTACTCTTAGTAGTAAAATTGTTGACTCTTCAGCCAAAAGGGTGGAAGATGTTTGCTTTCAACTTGTGTGAGACAGAAAGGATATGAGTATCTTTAAAAAAAATACAGGGTAGATCATGATATGCCATAAAAAGGCATTAATACACCACACAATCTTTCAAAGGAGAGCTGGCTTATTTTCACAGTCCTCTAAATTAAATATTTAGTGGGAACAGGATGAAAAGACATGGCATCCAATGGCAACAATTCCAGTCCAAGGCCTGATGAAAAATGTTGACCATTATTACATCTACAATTTGAATTTAAAACAATTTCAAATGGTATTATGGAAAATTACAAGGGGAAAAAACCTGGATTCAAATCTGTATCTGACACCTGTTAGCTATGCAACCTTGGATGCTTTCACTTTCTAATTTATTTTCTCTGAGATTCAGTTTTCTATTTGATGGAATATTTATAATAGACATGTCTTTCCTGTCTGCTTCACAGGGTCAAAGTTAAAGAAATCTATTAACTGTAAAATCCCATAATTTTCTTAAGCTAGACTAGTCTCACTTTCCACCATTGATGTGCTTCATCATCTTGATACCAAATACCAATTTTTAGGTATTTACTTCTTAACAGAGAAAACCCCCTAAACTGAAATTTGAAATTTCTTTAAGGACAAAATACTTACTTTAAGTAGAGATAACCCATTAAAGTCCCTGTTCAATTCCTACAAGGTTTCAAAATTGTACCTCATCAATTTAAGTCATATAAAGTGACCATTCGCCTGGGTACTTGTCTGAGACTCTCAAGGTATCAACCAATTAATTGAGTCTAAAGATGACCTTATAACCACTGACCAGAATATTGAGAAAATACCCATCAAAATATTTCTTTACATGCTACATTTTGTAACTATGTGGTTACAAAAACAAAGTATTTTTACACTTTCCAAATTTATTACTTTTATTCCATCTGATCATCTACTAGTTTTGTCAGGTAGGTAAGGCAGATTTATGCTTGTCTTAGGAGGAAAAAACTTACTTATGTTCAAAATCATTTCGAGGCATAACTTAAATTATATTTCCAGTGCCCAATTTCTTTTAGTGTTTACACTACATCATGTTAAATAAATTTTTCATTTTATTTTATTTTATTTAAAAAAATATATATTTTATTGATTTTGTACAGAGAGGAAGGGAGAGGGATAGAGAGTTAGAAACATCGATGAGAGTCATCGATCAGCTGCCTCTTGCACACCCCCACTGGGGATATGCCCGCAACCAAGGTACATGCCTTTGACCACAATCGAACCCGGGACCTTTCAGTCCCCAAGCCAACGCTCTATCCATTGAGCAAAACCAGTCTTGGCAAATTTTACATTTTAAATTATTCAACTGCACCAGTGATTCTACTTCTAAAGAGTAACACATTCATGTCTGAAAATACTCCTAATAAAAGTGTTAACAGTCCCATTCTAAGTCTTATCAGAATCATTTACCAACCAAATCAAATCTCCCACTCAGAAAAGTATATTAAACAATTTAAAATGATTAATATCTTAAAACACAGGTTTTGAAGAATCATCTTAAAAATGTGAATAAATGTCTAAGCTTTAAAAATACAGATGAGATTAAGTTTAAAAGTAACTTAGAAGAATACCTTATGACTAATGTTTAATTGATATGGTTTAACTACTGAATTGGGGATATAGATTCTAGCCTCATTTCATTTTAACCTCTCAGAGCCTCAATTAACATTAAAACAAAAAATCATAATAGAAAATTTTATTCTCACTATATAACCACGTCCTGGAAAATCATGAATACTATGAAAAAGTTAATTAGTAGAGGCCAAAAACAAGACTTCTAAACCACACCAAAATTAGATCAAAACATTTACTTTTTGTGTTACAAAAGCAAAAATAAAGCCAAGCAAGTATTGAAATAAACATTTTTTAATTTTATTTATCCTGGATTCTGTGCCCTAGAATTTAGTCAATAGTTCAACTTTAGGTTGCTTCAACACTTCTTCTGGATACTATGAGGTCTCCATCTTATAACCATGTTTCTCTAGTTCAGCTCTAAAATAAAACACAAAAATATAATTTCACTAGACATTCTTTATGATAGAATGAAGAAACAGGTGTATTTTTTAGAAATAATGCAATAAATTAAAAATGAACTAAATCTAGGCACCAATTAAAAATACTATCAAATTATTTTAGTCCCTAGAAATAAATCTATATAAGAAATTGGATATGAATCAACACAATGCTAATAAAATTTTAATTTCTCAGTATTTCATATTCCTTAATTTTCTGATAAACTACAAAAGAAATATAAAAATTATCTTCCAAATACCTTCCAAATACCATAAAATGTTAATAATAAATATTTAAATAAAATTTAAGAATCATCAACCATATAGTTAACACAAGACATTGATATCAATCTTTAGGGATTTCATAATCATCACAATAGGTATTACTGTTACTTACACATAAAAGATGAGCAGATTGCTTTCCATATTTACATACACTGAATGGCCAGATTATCATGATCTCTGAACACATAATAATCTGTACACTCAGTGTATATCCTATATAATAAAAGGCTAATATGCAAATTACCAGGAGTTCGACCAGCAGGCAGGCCGGCCAACGGCACATGTCTCCTTCCCCTGGCCAGGCTGGCCAGACCCCACCCATGCACAAATTCATGCACAGGGCCTCTAATGCCCCCCCCCCCCCCACTCTGCCAGCCTGGTTGCCCCTAACTGCCCCACCCCTGCCGGCTTGGTCACTCCCAACTGCACCCCCTGCCAGCCTGGTCACCCCCAACTGCCCCCCTCTGCCAACCTGGTCACCCCTAATTGCCTCCCTACCCCCTAACCCTCCTGGCCTGGTCGCCCCAATTCCCCCGATCAGCCTGGTAGCCACCAACTGCCCCCCTGTCAGCTTGGTCGCTCCTAATTGCCCCCCCCTGCCAGCCTGGTTGCCCCAAACTGCCCCGCTCCCCGCTGGCTTGGTCACCCCCAACTGGCCCCCTTGCCTGGTTATCCCATTCAACCTGCTGTTCAGTCATTCATCTGGCTGTTTTGGTCGTGATGGCCCCTGGCTTTTTATATTTTAGGGTAAGTTATAAACTATTAAATGAGACTTTACTTTCCTAATTTTTAATGTGAATGAAAAAAATCTCAAAAGTTATATTGGAATACACAGTTTAAAAAGACATTTTTTATAATTTTAAATAATTTATTCAACCTGAAGTTTCTGAAAATGTCAACTGCAAAAGTTGATCAGCCTTACATAGAGCATTTGCACAATAAAGTTTAGTTCTATAACAAATTTCGGCTAAACTACCATTCCAAATATCACTAGCAACTTACCTGCCATAATTCTGATTTTATAACAGTTGATCACAAAATTATTTGAGGGCCAATCCATGATAAAACATAATACAAATGTAAAGTATTATTAATGTGCCCTACATCATTACATCCAATAAGACAAAGACATTTGTCCTCAAGTGTAATTTAGCTTAGCTACTATCATACTATCCAGTGTAAAAACAATGAAAAAAGCATGGATTGGCTCAGTGGATAGAGCGTCAGCCTTCGTATTGAAGGATCCCGGGTTCAATTCCGGCCGGGGGCATGTACATTGGTTGCGGGCACGTCCCCAGTAGGGGGTGTGCAAGAGGCAGCTGTTCGATGTTCCTCTCTCATGGATGTTTCTGACTCTCTATCCCTCTCCCTTCCTCTCTGTAAAAAAATCAATAAAATATATTAAAAAAAAAAAAAAAAGCATGTGGCGGGAATGATGTATAATATTTATTATTCATTTCCTCAAACTCCTTCAATTTCTTAAAACTTTTAGTTACTTATAATATAAATACTAACCTAAAGTCCATGACTAATATTAAGGCCAGAGATTATTCATATGAATCATCTTTCTTCTGCTCAGGTGTGGAGGACAGTATGGCCTAGTGGTAAAATGCTAGAGCAAGGGTATAAAGATCAGCACAAGTTTCTGATTCTATCTCTTCCTTCGCTAAATTTAATTAAAATGCTTCTTTTGCCCTCCTACCCAGGAAGTTTAAAATTATGCCTATCCTTCATGTTTCCTATTTAAAAATAAATTATAATAATTTTAAAAGTTTATTAAATAATAGTTTTCTGATGCCTTATACACAATTAGTGTACATTATTTACTTTCTCTTATTTTAACAACAATGATAAAAACAAAGCAAAACACACATCTGACTTCCTGACATAAAGTAGTAACCAATAACATTTCTAAATTGTTTACAAATACAAAATAATGATATACTTCCCTATTAGCTAAATTCTTAAAGAACATGAAAATTTCTTTGCTAATATTTAGGATATATAAGAAATCAAAAGGAAAAGAAATCAAGGCCATTAATCACAAAACATAAAACAATATAAAGAGCCTGTTAAATGGAAAAATCCAGCAAAGAGAAGAAATGAGACACACATAGTGAATATATACTATTTGAAACAAACACACACAAAAAAATCATTCTTTTTACAACAGAAGAAAACTAATAGCCACCAGTAGGTTTGGGAACATCTCTTACTATCCAAAAAAACTACTGTTATATGCCAGTAGCTATAGTTGACACAGTACTAGTAAGTCAAGAACATAGTTTTTATGCAAAATGTGATGCAGGGTCAGAAAAATCTGATAATCCTACCTACTTCTGATATACAGAGAAACAAATATATCAGAAACAGCCAAAACAGGACTTTTAGTTACTTGGCGACTCTTTTAGTTACTTTTTCTTTCTACTTCTACTTGCTAACAGTAATTACACTAAAAGAGAAAGAAACATGGAGAGTTTATGCTAGGCCATAGCGAAGACAGATTTGGAGTTAACACTCAGGGAATATGACTGACTCTAAAATACAAACTGCCTCTCCAAAACAGATGGGATTAGGACCGAGTAACATCAGGAGATAGGAAAGCATGTTTTCTGCCATGGTTTACAATACCACACTAAGGCATCAATGCATTTTACAAAGACTAGGAAGAGTATCTTTGCTGGAGACTTAAAGCAGAAATATAAATATCATCTGAGCCTATGCTGTCCAATATAGTATTCACGCGTGGCAATTTAGTAAAATTAATTTATTAAATGTAGTTCATTAGCTGCGCTAGCTACATTTCATGTGCTCAATAATCACATTAATGGGTTACAGAAGACTTCCATCACTACAATATGTTCTATTTGACAGAGCTGATGACATATGAATAACCTTGTGGGGAACAATACTCATGACTCAAACAGGAAAATAAAGAGAAATATATTATTCACTAATGGAGATACCAAGGTTTATACACAATAAAATCCACAAACCTAAAGGCAGAAACACAACAGAGAACATAAGAGCACCGTGGAGGTATATTATGAAAACAACAAGCCACAAAGAACATATGGATAATACTCTATTTCCAACCAGTAAAAAGGCAAGATGTAGTAGTGACAAGAAATTTAATTAGGAAATACATTTACTAAAAGTTTCCAATAATTTCATAGCATGCAATAATGTCCTGATTTAATTTTTAAAAGAAAAGTGCCACTTTCTGACTAATAAAAGACACAAGAGACATGGGAGAAATCTGACTTAAAGATGTTCTCCAGGTCACTAATCATCACAGAAATGCAAATTAAAACCACAATGAGATATCACCTCATGCCTATCAAAATGGCTATCATCAATAAATCAACAAACAACAATTACTAGCCAGGATGTGGAGAAAAGGGAACACTCAGGCATGTGTTGGTGGGAATGTAGACTAGTGCAGCCACTGTGAAAAACAGAGTGGAGTTTCCTCACAAAATTAAAAATGGAACCTTTTGACCCAGTGATCCCACATCAGGGAATATATCCAAAGAAACCCAAAACTCTAATTCAAAAGAATAAATTCACCTCTATACTCCTTGCAGCATTATTTACAACAACCAAGATCTGGAAACAGCCAAAGTACCCATCAACAGATGAGAGGATAAAACAACTATGGGACATTTACACATTGGGATACTACGATTCTAATTTCTACCGAGTTATTCAATATTGGCAGAAAATTAACTTCAACAGAATTAAACCCACAAGGATAAAAAATTGCAAATATGCTTCTATTTAATCACTTTTGCCAAGAGCCTAGAAAGAACAAAAGTTCTAGGCACTTACACAAAGTACACATATTTAGAAACACAAAAAATTAAGGCACTATGTCTTACTTTTCAGAATCCAAAAACATATTTCAAAGATTAATTATCCTTTAAGAACTCAATTATCATAAGTAGATGACACATTCTATGCTTACAATTCATACTGTTATATAAAAATCTGGCTTAAAGTTTACCTTAACTGATTGGAGAAGTCATCCTCTACATTGTCATCATCCCAATTATCCTCCCAGACATGTGCATCTTCATCTTCATCTAAACCAGTCCAGTCTGAAAACAGAAACAGATGCTGTCTAAATAGCTCTCATATATTATTTCCATAAATACAAGAACTTCGGAAACTTTGCCCCCAAAACTCTAACGATTCAAAACATCTAATAACATATATACTAAAATAAGAAATGGTAGTCTTCCTCTTTAAATCTCAACTTATGTTGTCACATGTTCTCTCAATTTTTGAATTTGCAGATAATCTAAAACAGAAGTTAATACACAAATTATATTTGCCATGAAGATTTATTTTAATTTCGGGAGGATATTTACTTTTCCTGATTTCTCCTTGGGATAACTTGTATAAAGTCTATTTCACAATCTTTCAAAACATAGCACTAACAATGCTAAGGTAAGCTGAGTAACAGAAAGGTATCAGCCTGAAATTCAAAACTGCTAAACATGAAAAAGGTAACTCAAACACAGATAATAAAAAGTAGACTAAATATTTTCTTAAATTTGATTGTAAATTATTTTAGAGAATGTATTTCTTAAGACATGCACACTGAAATATTTAAGAGTTAAGTGTTATTTTGTTGACAATTTACTTACAAATGGTTCTCAATATATATTTTATATATCATATATGCTAAACATGATAGAAATAAAGTAAACATTATACCTCTTTTTAAAAATGAGGTATAATTAACATATAATGTTATATTAGTTTTAGATGTACAACACAATGATTTGATATTTATGTATACTGCAAAACGATCACAAGACTAGTTAAAATCATCACTATACAGTTACTTTTTTTCTTGTAATGAAGACTTAAGATCTGCTCTCTTAGCACCTTTCAAATATGCAGTACAGCTTATTGACTAGAGTCATCATTGCTATATATGATATTCTCATGACTTATTTTATAACTGGAAGTCTATACTTTCTGACACTTTCACTCAATTCACCACCACTATGCCCCACTCGCCCCCTATTTTAAACTTTTTTTCAGGGTTGAAAGTTTTAAAATTAAAATGTCAGAAAAATAGTTTTTTAAAAATCGGTTTGGAAATTACCTCCAGAAGCCTTCCATGTTTCCTTCTCCTTCTCCTTACCTTTAGAGATTAGATCCCTTCTTTTGTGTATATCTCTATCACAGCACTTACATACTAAACAATCATATTATGAGTCTGAGCTCAACAACTGTATTTTATTTTTGATCTTAAACTCAAACAGTACCTAGCATATGTACAACAAATAGTTGTGACACACACAGAACTCTGTATCAGATCTTGTAAATTTTTGTTTGAACCCCTTCCCTTCAAAATCAGTAATTATGAATTACATTCTCTCTTAAATAGGTCCTAGCCATTAGCTTCATCTTAGTAGATACCTATCAGAAACATGGCTAAGAATATTTAAACCTAAAAAGAAAAATAATTAAATAACAAAACATATGAGGAGTTAGGCTTTTCTTATAATGCTTATATTTAGATTCAAACTATTCAGAAATTACACATACTGTAAATATTTTGTTACATTATGTATCAGTAAAAATTTTTAAATGTGATATGTCTTTGTTATGAATTAAGAAGTACCTCCAATTTACCTGGTCCCCCAAAGCAGTATCATGAGAGGCATCTTAGCTACTCTTTCTCCTTCAACTATCATAGTCATCATCCTTTCCAACTCTCAACTATCTCCAGAGTTTAGTCTCCCCCTCCCTATTCTTACTGCCACTATGTTAATTGAAGGGTAATTTTTCCCTTCATGGACTATTACCATGGCCCTCTTTCTATTCCCTCCTCTCCAATCTTATACAATATATACCTACCCACCACAGATGCCTGAAACAACCTCCACCATTCCTGTGGATAGTGTTCAACACCTTCCGGTAGGAATGGCATTTTATTAAATTTGTAATTCTAATGCCTACATTTGGGTGTTGGGCACATAGTAGAAATTTAATAAAATGCTATAGTTCCATTTAGAAACTATTCTTAAGTTCCCTTCGTGAGTTGTCAAAATGAAGAAAACAGAAGTTAGTGATGGCTTCAGTAAAGCCAGAAGTACATAATTCAAGATAGAAGATATCAACAATATTATGTATTATAAATGAATTATGTAAAATTCTCAATTATACTTAAGACTGCTTCTGAGAAATATGATCATTCAATGATGAAATGGTAATGTGTCAAAAGATTCAAGCTAGAAATATAAAATAATAAGAATATTTTTTTTCCTACCGGGACCGGTTTGGCTCAATGGATAGAGCGTCGGCTTGGGGACTGAAGGGTCCCGGGTTCGATTCCGGTCAAGGGCATGTACCTTGGTTGCGGGCATATCCCCAGTAGGGGGTGTGCAAGAGGCAGCTGATCGATGACTCTCTCTCATCGATGTTTCTAACTCTCTATCTCTCTCCCTTCCTCTCTGTACAAAATCAATAAAATATATTTAGAAAAAAAAAAAAAAAAAAAGAATATTTTTTTTCCATATATCTCTGCTACCCTTTCTAAAACAATAAAGACACAGGTCCTGCAGGAATTTTTAATCTAATTATGACTTGATTCAAAACATTGATTTCAACATTGTTATTAGTTGACAAATTCACATGTCTTCAAGTTAGCTTTATTTCTTTTAACTTTGAGAGACTAAAAAAACAAAAAACAAAACAAAAAAAAAACTTAAGTTGTACCCAACTGCTTCAGAGTGGCAGAAACATATGTATTTCATAACTTTTTTGTAGAAGCCCCAATCCTTAATTCTAAAAAGGTTAAAAAAAGTAAAAATTCTTAACATAATACAGAGATACTACTTTGAACAGTTGTGTTTTTTTTCTTTAATTTCAAGAGAAGCATAATTTTTAATTTATTTAGCTGAATTCTGATGGTCATTTAATGCATAAGGATAAAGTATCTCTTTCCTCCTTTAACAACCATCTAATGCTACTTTAATGGCAAGAAAGGAAAAGAAAGAAGATAGAAATAAAGTCCTCCCAAAAAAGAAAATGCCTTATGAAAGAGGGGGAAAATTCTAGGTAGAGGACAAATGGATAAAAAAACAAAAACAAAAACAACAACAAAAAAACCTGACACTAGTTCTATTTTTTTTTGTATTATTATACAGTATTTCATAATTATGACACTCTTGAGTATACAAGGATACAAAAAATGGAAAAGCTAGTTTAATTCATTAATCATCACATAAGTTTGAATATACTTTTAACCTTAATGTCTTATCCTAGGAGTAAGATGCACAGAAGCCTCATGCCATGTTATCCTTCCAACCACCATAGATGAAGAATTCAGGACAATAATTAACTGTTTGAACTACCACTTAAGTATTTTAAATTATTTAACAAGAGTACCATTAAGAAACTTAGTGTTCACAGTGACAAACCAGAATCTATAATCTATTTAAGGTAGAAACTTTTAAGGTTTTCTTTATTAACTAGGAATGTTAAGTAAAAAGTTTAAGTGACAGGGTATAAGAACGCTAAATGTTATTTTCAACACTTACAAATTCTCCATATACATATATGTTAAAAAATATGTAAGTTATATGTAAACTCTACTAAGTGAACACGTAACATAAACAAGCTGTGACTATTGTAATCTCTAGGATTTGGCTGACATCTCTTGCAATATATCTCTGACTGAATTGTGTTTTAATTTTCAATTACAGCATAACACTGATAATCATGCAATTTTATTTAATCACTTCATTTTAAAGCCTTAAACCCAGAAATACCTTTTTTAAAAGGTCAAAACAATAAAATCAAACAAGGATACCAGGTTCATAGCTAATGCCTTCCTTCAACATGTGGATGAGTTATAAAGTATACATGTTGTCTTCAACATTAAATGCATTGCCAGGATTGTGATTAATCGTTTAAATAACGACATCTGTATTGACTTCAGTGTGCAGGACTCCAGATGTGTACTGGTAAAAAAAATTATCATATTTTAAAAAGTCAGAGTTAGAAATAACCAATAACATATGCCTAAAAACATAAGTTTCTAACAACTCTAAATTATTTAGGACTTTATCTCCAAATATGGCTTTGTTCACATTTGTCAGTGAGAATTATATCTGTGACTAGCTTTAAATTTCAAAAATCTAAGCTATCAAAGATCCCATATACTTTATCTAAGTATCACCTTGACATTAAAAAGGGAAAAGATTTTTCTCTCTCTGTTCTTAAGATTACTTATTCTCCCTACCCTCCAACATACAAAATACCTTAAAAGTATGAAGGATACCATTTTGGAGAAAAGTAAAGAGGAAATTCAATTTATACCAAATGGGGTTGCAAATGTTATAATCTATACCAGTTTTCAGGAGCATCAAATTATCATTCATTCTTTAATAGCAAAGCTACTCTGAATATAAACAAACTAATCTCCAAAAAAGATTCTTCAAGTAAAATAAAACTTTTTCCTTAAATGTAACTTTTGTAGGTTATTGTGATACAAAAATATTTATACCCTAGAGATCTAATGTCTATATTCAGTGGCTAAGTAAACAATAGCTAGCATAGCACCACTGCACTACTATATTTTCTCTAACTAGAACCAAAAATGTCGAAGAGGAACTTCAGAGCAGCAACCTAAAGCAAGTAATAAATGATGTTGGTACCAGACTACTGGTGACCTTTTAGTTATTTGTTGCCAGGAGTCTGAAAAGAAGCTCAAAATAACTTACATAAACATTTATAATTGTTCTTATATTTTAACAAAAGGAAATTCAAACAATTCTTTTCATAAATATTGTTTTTAAAATATGTATCTGGCAGAATGATTCCACTACAAAGTTATGTTGACTTCAGTTACCTTTGTTAATCAATGATTTTTAATTCCCTTTTTTTAAAACATTCTCCAAAGCCATTACTCTCACTCATCTTTCCCAAACCCTCATATCCTATACTCATCGTTTTCCTCATTCTAATCCTCCATACTACTGAAACAAGGGTATCCAATGTGAACTCCACCATCTGTCATACATTAGACATGCCAAGTGCAAAATCACAAACTTGATTTCTTCTTACTACCAACACT